CAACCACTGCATATCATGACAAAACTACGTGGGAAGCACGTCCGCGATTATAGGTGGAACATGTTTGCAAGATGACGTTGTCGCGCTAATGAAACCCTGGGTGGAGGATGTTTGCGACATGAGAGTGTTGCGTGAATGATGTACATTGTTCTACCGTACTTTTGTTTCAATGTACATTGCTCTAGCGTATGCAAAAAACATAAAAGCTGCTGCGCTAAACATATGAATGCTCCCCCCACCCCTAGCATATGAGATTCCGCAGAAAAGAGACCTCATGTGCATATCTTGGGCAGATACTTGATATTGGACGGTAGGCAACATGCTAAACATTAGGGGGAGGAGGCTGAAGAAGTATCAACACGATTCCGAGATCCAATTGAGGTACCTTGTAACCTTATTGTACATGTTGATCATTCCCTATACGCCCCTGTATGACCTCTGTGTCCATTTCATTTTCCATTTCTTTGGCGACTAACTTTCCATTATTAGTGCAATATCCTCAAGCCCTATATACTATACAAACCCTATAAAATCCCATCCCAACCCCATACCCCACACCCTAAAAACCCGAAAGCCTACACCCTAAATCCACTCCACATTTCGACTCAAACGTCCATGTCGTCGAGAGAGGTCTTCGGTGGATCCTTCAGGTCAGACTTTTCGCCAGACCTGGCTGGTTTGAAGAATTTAGGGTTGTGGGGTGTAACGCTTAAGGGTTTCAGGGTCAGGGTTTTAGACTTCATTGTTTTGGGGGTTTAGGGTTGTCGGGCTTTGCTACAGCGGTTCCCGCATGTCTACCGCCTTGGCGACGCACCATGCTCAGGTTTCTGCAATAGCTTGGCCACTTCTATAACCCAGGTTCCCCAGCAACCCCTTAATAATGAGGCTACCCTTTTTCCTACTATTCAGTTCTAATAAGGAGACCCCCAAATAAAAAGGGCAAAAGGGTACTACTGGGGTACCTAGTAACTTAACGTGGGGTCCAAGGGGGGCTTTCTCAGGGATCCTGGAGCTACACACGTCCAATGCAATAAGCGGCTAACCCTCTGGAGATGAGGTGTGAGTCAGGGTAAGAGCGTCCATACCGTAAATAAGGACTGATACAGATGTGATCTAAACTCCTATATACCCCCAGTTTCCATTCCGTTTAATTACATGTTCTTTACCATTTGGTTCTCCATATCTTGTAGTTTGCGTAAATAGGGAGAATGGCACCCTAAACCTTGAACCTTGTAGGGACTACTATTGGGATCCATTCCTTCATTCCATGCGAAGCACCAGTACGGCACGTGGTGAAATTACACAAGATTTTTTCTTGGGTAAGAGTTTAGGGTTTAGGGTTTGAGGCTTGGTGTTCGTGGCTTGCTGTTTTGGGTTTAAGGTTTAGAGCGCAAGCTTTCAGGATTGAGCGTAGGGTTTAGGGTTGCAATTTTCAGGCGGGGGTTTTACCACGTGGGTGTCCTTGCATAAACTCATATAGGTCTTATTTGGGGAGACCAGGAGGTACATGGGGGCTTTGCAAAGCTAATATGGGGGAACTACCCACCTGAAAATTCCTTGGATTGGGATTTGGGAACCAGGTTCGGTATTGCCCCCATCCTGCAACACATTGCTACAATCACAAAACTGAGCGACCTCTCCAGGGCAGGGCAGTATTCAAATTCTAAATCATGGTCTATTTGCTTCTTCAGTATCCATTCGTTTAGGCCCCCAAACCGTAAACCGTATATACCTCATTATAGGGACCTCACACCCTATTCTATTCATGAGGCGCCTTTTCAGGGGATACTTCCTCGATCCGGTTTCAGCATGTCCCTACCCTAAACCCTAAACCCCAAACCCACTCATCCCATAACCACTTCAGCTATAGTCTAAACTCCTAGTATCTCCCTTAATAACCCCTATAGTAGTCCCCCATACAATCCCCTATATAATCCCCCTTTAAGGAGTTTAGACTATAGCTCACTTGACTCCTGACTCTTGCCACCAGACGAACTTGAGGGCTGACAAGATAATGGCATATGTTAGTTTCTGTAAATGGGAGGGCCCCAACATAACCCCCCAAACCCTATAATCCGTATGATGGTGGGGCCCTCCTACCCTAAACCCTAAACCCTAATTTTGGAAAAATCCTGGGGTTTTAGGTTTAGGGCTTTGGCGCGCCACTCCCTCAGGGTTTTCAATGCATATCCCAGGGTTGATATTAAACATATCCTGCATGACCCCAAAACACGCTAGGATGGGGAATCATGGTGCTATGGTATCCCAAGTTTAGGCAGGATTGTTGGTAGCGACAGTAGTTCTGCGGTATTGTAGTATCCACGGAAATTGCAAAGTTAGCTGGCCTAGAAACGCTTGCGGCTCAGGGTTTAGGGCCGTATACCATAATGCATAGTGCGCTAAGGCATCAAGGCTACCCCCTGAGCTATCAAGCTGCAATGAACCCTAAGCCTTATTATCAATGTTGTTACTGGGCTTCCTGTAATTATTGCTATTATCTTATTACTAAGTTACTCTTATTGCTAAAGTCCTCATGCTAAACACTACACCCCAAGGTTCGAGCCAATGATTGGCAAAACTCACGAAATGCAAATGTCTCGAGGTAGGGATGTCAAGGGTTTGTTTGGTAGCTTCCCAAAATGGGACCCCAACTTAGACTCCCAAAATTAAATTACCCTTTTTGTTGGGAACCCCCCCAAAGGTTTGAGAACGTAGGGGTCAGGGCTACAGTGAATATACGCTTCAAAGAGCAGATGCAAAATAGATTCCAGCTATCTGCGAAGTGAATGGCTTCACCTACAGCCCAGCTGAAGCGCAAACACTTATACGGGCATGCGTATTCGTTACTGCTGGTTTGAAGCATCCGGTCGCGCCTGGCTTTGTACATAGCCTCCCCGATAATCTTCTTCATGTTATCATCGCCTTCGTCGTACAGGTCCTTCATCATGGACATGATGCTGTCCTTCAATGGTATAGCAGGTGGAGGTTTGACGGATTCTGGGGAGAAGGTGTGTAGGGAGTGACAACCCGAGGATGAGCCGTTTTCTCCCCGGATAATGAAACCCCAGCCCCCTAAATAAGGAATAGTCCGAATATCTAGGAGGTAATAAAGGTCTTCTAGGGATCTGCGAGGCCCCCGGTCTCAGGTTCCAAATGTGCCAAGCGTGAATAGGATTTAGGGTTTGTAGGTCAGCTCTTGGGCTTCCCTGATACTGAGGATGGAGGAAATCTTGCAATATCTTATACATTTATATCCTCCATACCCGAGGACTTACGATATCTTGGCGATCTTTCACAGACCCCCTAGAGGATCCAAAAAAGTGGAACCGCACAATAATCCCCTAGCTTCCCCAATGTAGTAATGATTTAATTTCTTTTTTTGGGAAGTTCCATTTTTCAGATCCTAAATCCTAAGCCCTAAACCCCGGGTTTGGGGAAGTGGTGCAAGACTTCCTCCGTCCACCGTAGTTTATTCAGGTTTCTCGTGAAAACCATCACCCAGGCCAACCTTTAGGGGGAAAAGCCATCCCAGCATATCCCCCTCGTACCCCAAGAGTCCCGAGTCTACCACCTTCTCTTAACAACCCTAAATCCTATACTCCCAACCCTGAACCCTAAAATAAACTCCCTCCATCCCTGAAGGCGTTTTGCTTCAAAAACCTTAAGCCCTAAACCCTAAGCCGCTCTACGGTTTTCAAGCCTTAAACCCTAAACCCATGATAGTAGTTTCCATGTTCTTTTTCACTATCCCTGTATAACCCGCATTTAACCCATACATTTAGGGCTTAAGGGGTCATGTCCTGAGGGTTCTCCGACTTCGAAGCAGTGGGCTTCCTCTTGCCCTTCGCGCAGAGGTCTGTCCAGGAGTCGTAGCCATACTCACCCTTCACCTGGGTTTAGGATTTGGAGTTTCAAGCCTTGGGTGACTTGGAGTTGTAGGATTGAGGGAGGCCTTCACTTTTAGGCTTTGGGGGCACCAAAAGAGTTTTGAGGTTTTGGGAGCTTAGGGTTTCCCATGCTCCTCGTACCAACCATTTTGAGTATACGGCTGCTCCTCCTAAACCTTCCCACCCACAGGAAACTTCATGTGCAATTAATGTGATGTGGGGATATGTGGGGAATAGCGGTATTTAGGACTTGGATACGCCAAGCCCGGAATATGTGTCTGAGTGCTTCGGATCTTGAAATCAGGGCTTAGGGTTTCGGGCTTCGGCTGGGCCTCTAGGATACGGCGACGGCTCACACTATCCTGTGAAAAATTGTCTGCCAGTAAGAGCTTTGCTTCAAGCAGCCCTCACATTCTCATTACAAATAGCTCTGCGTGACTTGTCTGCTAGCACTGACGGCACTGACAATCGTGGAGGGCAATACTTACAATGCTGACACGTTCAGGATTTGGGGTTCTTTCCCTATCCAACCCTGTATGACCCTCTATACCCCTAGAACGCCCTGTATATCCCTTTAAAAAAGATACGGGTTTGGGGGGGTACTGCGGAAAAGACATTGGGATCTTGATGGGACTGTAGGGAAGCTGGAGTTCCTCAAAGCCAAAGCTCTTAAGAGCATGAACGCACCAGAGTTTGTTACAAAAGGGGCCTATAGGGACCCTATGGCTGGGGATTAAAGGGGATTATGGAGGTCTAGAGAATCATGAGTGGGGGGGTTCCTTGCAAGGGTTTACTTTATACGAATTGTTTCCAAACATTTTACATCGGAATCCTCTCTGCCCTCATGCCTTGCGGAGGGTGATGATGACATGGTTTTTCTTGACCTTGATGCTGGACTCCGCAGGCACAATGTCCTTCTCGAGGTTCGTGCGGACGAAGCGGTGGTTCCTTGAGTTCTAGCCCGGCATTAAACTTGAAAGAAGAACGAGGAGTTCCGAACTGCCCTCTGGTGACACCGGAGCAGATTCAATAAGCCTTCTCTATTACGCGCCATCTCGGACTTGTGTAAATGTATTTCCCAAGAATTTACAGGCTTACTGAATTATAAACGGGATCTAGACCTCGCAACCCTTTTTCACAGCCCATGGCATCCCAGGACACCTTGGGTGCTTCCTAGCCCACACTAATCCTCCTCGCACATACTCAACTGCAAAATCCCGAGGAACAATGACGCGAGTAAAGACTCCCCCCCCCCAATATAGTGCCATCAAGTATGTTCATCACAGGGTGGGCGGTTAATTATTATCACCAGAACTTCGTATTAACATCAGGAGTTAGCGGCCTTCCTCAGGCTATCCCTACACCCTAAAACCTTGGATTCTACACCTCTCCTTTGGGTTGTACGGGAAGGCATATCAAAGTTTCAATATACTTGTACATTCATATGAGTATCCCGCTTGATAACCCCTATAGTAGTCCCCTGTATAATCCCCTATGCAACCTCCTTTAAGGAGTTTAGACCCAAAACCCTAAACCCTATACGTACATGCATGTATATATATACACATATAATGCCCCCTTTAGGGAATTTAGACTTTTCTGCTCACTATAATTCTTAGTGCCCAAGCAAACCAGCTGCATGCCTCAAAGGCAGTGGAACCTGGCCTCTTAAGCAGCACTTGCAGAGGTCCAGGGTTCGAGGTTTAGGGCTTAGTGCTTAGGCTTAGGGTTCAGGGTTTGGGGCTTTGGGTTCAGGGTTTTCGGCTAAGAGTCTTTCCGTCCAGGCCGAGCACCTTGAGGTCGAAGGAGTCCTGCACGTGGTTCGGTTCGGAGGGCAGTTCATCATAGCAAGGATTATACCTTTGTGGAGGGAGGATATGCTTGTCTCTGGCAAGCAAGGAACGAAGGCACGGATCCTCATAGCGGTCCCTATACAGCCGCCAACAATATAGCAGTTTCCAGGTTCTTTTTCATTCCTTCAGTCCCTGCTACCCAGAGGTAAGTATGCGTGGAACTGGTAGACATTAATGTTGAAGAGTGCCTCAGGAACTCTTTCAACCCGAGGCTTTATGACCGTAAGCCCCACTACAGCACTGGGGGCGTAATAGACCGCAAATCATCAAAAGGGGTTTTGAGGGAACACATAGTATTTGATCAAGCCCACACCCGCACAACACTATATCCTGAACACCCACTACAAACAAAAACAAATGAAACCGAACACCTAAAACCTTGATCCTAAATCCCAACCCCTATAATACAATTAGAAACACACAAAAACCTTGACTTTGCCTCCTTGAAGTCGCAAGTGACATTTTCCGCCGCAAGGCTCTCCACGCCTTTTAGCCTCGCAGCTTCTGTCAGAAGCCCCCATATGGAGCACCCCTAAACCCTAAACCTTGTAGAGCCCTAAAGCCCTAAACCCTAAAAATCAACAACAATACTTTCAGGGTTTAGGGTTGTATGGTCTCACCAAAATGGAGGGGCTTTAGGGACCCTAGGAAGACATGGGGACTTTGAGGAGATTCGAGGGGGGTCCCTATGAATTATACTATAAGGTCAGAGAAATGCCCATATGGGGAAGCTTAGATACCATGGGCGCCCCGTTTTGGGGCGCCTGGATGTCTATACTGTTGGTGGAAGAAACGTTGCGCCACTTCAGGTCCCTAAACTTTCAGGGATTAGGGTTCAGGGGGTTTAGGGTTTAAGGGTTTTGGGTGGTATTTCAATATGCAGGATTCAGCTGACCTCGGGTAGTGCAGGATGTCCACCGTCAACTGTTGGCATGGATTTCAACAATCACCGGGGGGCACTTTGGGGGCTCTCGATATCAGGAAGTGCAATGTTTGGGGATCCCTGCACATTTGCCTTTTGTTGCAAGCCCCACCAACAAAACAGCTCTGTTTGAGTCTATTTTTGGCCTGGATCATGGAGACGAAGGCAAACACCCGAAACTAAAACCTGAACACTGTACGGACTGGAGAAATTTATCCTTACGTAAGTAACTCCAGAACTGCGACATGACCGCTCCCAGAAAACAAGCTCCTCTAAAAGTAGCCATCAAGCAAAAGTAGTTCGGACAACATTGAAGCCCTCAAACCGCTGAGTCCTAACATCAAAGGTTGGAACTCTGGGCCCCCAGCGAAGCCCTCAACCCTAAGCCCTAAACCCTAATCCATAAATCCCTTGTTAGATAACTGTGATATTAATATTGATGGTAATTATAAGTAGTAATAATCCCTAAGCCCTAACCGTCAACCCCAGTATGGGATCATCCCGGGGTCCCTATAAACCTATTATATACCCTACAAGGCCCTAAGCTGGGTTGCTGTTGAGGAACTTAATTTAAGTTACTATATGGGGGGGAAACCCCATTACATACTATATATATATATATAGTAACTTAATCTAAATTCCTAAAGGCCACGGGCCCATAGTTAGGACCCAGGAAGGAGGTAGGAGCCCATGTTGGGGGCCAAGTTTTAGGACCTTCGATGAAAACAAGCTCCGGGTTTCTATCTTACAGCTTTAGGTGCCCCAAGCCCTGTAGCATGTTATATTATATTATAGTGTATGATAGTACTTACAGTACATTCTAGAATAGTATTTTATATTCCTAAAGCCAAGGGTTTAGGGTTTGGGGCTTGTACTTCAGGAAGGCAACCGCAAGTCAATGCTAATGTCTGGCTTGTTATAGCCGCCGAGATCCTCAAGGGCCGCTGATGTGCTGAGGCGCACGAAATTCGCTAAGGAATTTGGTGGTTTCCCAAAATTAGGGATAACATTTTGGGGTTCGCTGTAATAAGGACTATAGTATTTTGGGGTTTGTATTGGGGTCCCCTTAATTTGGGAAACGACAATTTGCAGTTGTGATCCTGTAAAGACTTCCGTTTGAGGATTGAAGGGGTTGGAGATAGAGGCTTGGGATGGAGAGTTTTGGACCTGCTTCCAACATGGAGAACTTCCAAAGTATTTGGTACTCTTGCTCCCTATACTGCGGGAAGCTCTGCAAATCTAGGAACATAGCAGGCTGAGCCAGCAGTCTGCAAACATCGCGGCTTAAATCACGACTCCATGAAGGGCTTCACTATTCGCCCCTGACACGCCATTTTCAATCTGAACCCTAGACCGAGACCTTGAGCCCTACATCCTACATTCAGACCCCCAAACCCCAACCCTGAAGTGTCCCCTAAACCTTGACCCTGGACTTCAAGCTAAAGCATAAACCCCGCCCAAACGGAAACCCTAGCCTTACCCTAGGGCTCCAATTCCATGAAAAATGCATACTTGGGGGGCCTTAAAAAATCTATAAGCAGTACCTACTTTGGTTTATTTGGGACCCTAGGGCCCATGGTTAAAGTGAGCTATAGTCTAAACTCCTAGTATCCCAGTTAATAACCCCCTCTACTCCACCCCTATAACATCCCCTATACAACCCCCTTCAAGGAGTTTTGGACTATAGCTCAAGTGCCCCTGAACGCTCCAGGGCGAAGGTTGTGATCTCCGTCCACGGCCCCACGGGCCGAACATCCACTGCTGGCGCTACCTCGCATTGATTGTTTAGGGCTTAGGGTTGAGATGCACCACCCCCCACCCTGTAGTAGTGGTATAATAGGAATATAAGAGGACCCTGATAGGGTTACTCTGATCCCTTATAGTCACTATTACGGGGTGGGGGGGTCCACCTCACATTGATGAATGCTGAGGGGTACTTGACCTACAGGGAATAAGAGAATATAGTGAATAGGTATTATACAGGGATCATCTTCCCTTCTTCTCGACTAAGAAGCAGTCAGGCTTGGGATGCTCAGTTTGAACAGCCTCTTCTGAGTTGTCCAGGATATGCAGGAGGGAAACAGCAAACTTGATTAGGTTCAGGTCTTGAGGTAGCCTCTACTGTAGCAATATGAAACATATCCTGAAACAGATAGCAGTCAGATTACTCATGATTCCAGCTCCTACTCGGTTTAGGTGCTAGGCATCCGCATTGGGCCAGCGGGGCTACGTAGGGATGATCTGAGGTCCCTATGACCTAAAATGTGGAGCAGTTAGCAACATGCGCTAGGAGCTGCAAATGTGTCTGCAAACCCAGCGGATCCTCCGTAGTTTGGCCTTCTTGAAATCAAATTTGACGCGGAGGTCTACGGAATGCTAGGAACCCTGAGCCCTTAACTCCACAGCTTCTCTGCCAGCGAAGATTCCTAACAACTGTGTTCCTCTACAAATAAGGGATCCCAACATGGACCCCGGACAGAGTGTAATCCTCTTAAGGGGGACACCCTTGTTTGGAAAACTTCTACCAGAAAACTCCGAAACACATTTTATATACCCTTTCATAACCCCTATGACCCCTTTAAAGGGGACACCCATTTAGCCATTTTGAAGGCCTAGTCCTTCTTTAAGTTTCAGTGCGTGCCACAACGCCACGAAACCTATTCACTGTGCAAATCCTCGACCGCCCGACAAGTAATGAAGACGCCCAAAGAGTTTTTGCAGGACTTTGGGGCGTACTACTTGGGCGGTCACGGGGACTTAGTAGGCACACTTACAACGCCTACAAGCCATGTAATAAGCCCAGGTAAACCCTTATCAACCTTCTTACTACTCCCCAATGCTCAAATGGACAACATCTTAATTAAGGAGTTTATTTTTTTCTAGGCTGTTCCAGGAAGAAGCCTGACTAACTGCCTAAGATACTCAGGGGGTCAGGTCAACCCTGAACATGGCATCCGGAACTCAATCCTTAGCCTGAAGCCGAGAACACAGTTGCCAGAAGAGCACTTGCGTCCCCAAGCGGCGTAGCCCGAAGATCCTTGTGATGCTGCTGCTGCGACCTGTGTGCTGTGGAGCAGATGAACACCGGTGGAGCAGTCTGGCTTTAGGGCCTGGGTGGTCTGGGGCTTAGGGTTTCAGTGGTATTGGCCTTTGGGTTTAGGAGGCTTCTCGACATGCGGGCTTTATCCGGACAATTCAAACGAAACAACAACCCCTCAAACCGACATCCTCTGCCAGTTCCATGCTCCAATCAAACAAACCAGCGGACCAATACCCTTAATCAAACATACTTCAAGCACTGCATCATTTAGCTTGATTATGCTCACTAGTCCAAACGTGTTGGTCTCTCTCTATGAACAGGTTATGAATCCTTCAACTTGGCTGAAGAAGCTCAAGCTTTGAGCCCTTCACTTTCCTAACTACTGCCTACTGCCTACAATGGATGGAGGCTCCACAAAGGTGCTTCCAAAAATGGAGCTCGTTTTGAAAGTCCCTACAGTAAGGAAAAAAGTAGCTTTGGGCTTACATTGGAGCCACCCATTTTTGGGAACCTCCTCATGGGGGGACCGTCCAAACATCCCGGCCCCCTGGACATTCAAACTTATACGCTAAACCCTAATAATCTCAACCCCAAACCCCCTTCTGCCGCAAGGCTACACCCTCAATCCTAACCCTAAGCCCTAAACCCTAGGCCCTAGACCCTAAATCCTAAACCCTAAACCCTAAACCCTAAACCTACACCCCGCCAAGGCACCTTGGAGCTTGAAGCTGTCGTCGCAGCGGCCGCTGCCGGGGGAGATTCGGCCTTTGCCTGCTCGGCCTTGCCCAGGGTAGGACTATAGGGTTTAGGGTTTAGGATTTAGGGTTTAGGGTTTAGGGTTTAGGATTAAGGGTTTTGGGTTTAAATGGAAAATTAAATGGAAACTGGGTTATATTAGGAGATTACACCCCCAATAATTGAGAATCGAATGGAAAAGAAAATGGAAAATGAAATGGAAACAGGGGTTTAGGATCTAGGGTTGCTGTCAAGGAACTTGAATTAAGTTACAGTAGTGGGTATATAGGGTTTAGGGTATGTATAGCGTAGGGTTAGAGGCCTAAGTTACCATAATAGTTATATACTGTAATTGAATAGTAAGGCTTCCTTATTGCAACTTAGTTGCTTAACAGCAACCCAGAAGAATGCAGGGGCAGAATTAACTAGCATAGGGATTGGGGTTCGGGGGAATGCCAAGGTTTTGAGGGAAGAAAAACGCCTATCATTCCGACTTCTACAGTTAGCCGGACACTTCTAGGCTTTAGGGTTTAGGGTTTATAGGGTTTAGGGCAATTCTTGAATCACCGTTGTTTGTTGTCACCTTGTGGTCCCGATTAGCTGTGGGTGGGGTGCAAGCCCGAGTCACAAGAACAAGACGAGCAGCCATGACATCAAGTAGGCTCTCTCAGGCTATATAGAGTCCTTATTAAGCGAACCCCAAAAAGGTACCCCGCATTTTTGGGAACTACCCATATAATATTTCTCTTCCCCAATAACCAGGGCTAAAAAAGTTAAAGCTCTTGTATAGAGACCCAAAAACGAAGCCCAAAACGACTAGAGTTCTTCCATTGGCTATGTAAGTTAGGATAGTAACATCAGGGAGTCGGATTATAACAGAATCTACATTGATGACAACTTGAGACTGACAGGGAGACTTGGGGGTTTCCCAAAATTATGGGTACCTTTTGGGCGGTTCCCTATATTAAGGACTATAGTATTTTAGGGTCTATATTAGGGTCCCCCTATTTAGGGAAATTCCCACTTATATGATTCCCGAAGAGGTATTGGAGATGGAGAATGGACACATTTATTCTGGGCCTGGGGGTGCTCGGGACGTGGGTGCATGCATGCAAACGAGAACTGAAGCTTCTTTGCGAGCTAACCGTAAATGCCTGGACAATGGGCCGTAGGATTGAGGTCGCAGAAGATTTCAGTGGTTCTTCATTGAAATTGTGGTTGGAGCTTTCGGTTGAGCATCGCGACTGCCAGGGCAAACTTGAATATCAGGTGGCAAACAATTTGGCGGAGACTCTTGGACACCCCGGGCTTTATTTATGGTGATGACGCGGCCAGTGACTTCAAGAAAGAACAGCCCTTTTGGATGGGACTTTCAGACTTTCAGAAGGCTGGAGATTGTGAAAGTTGCCACGAGTTACGAAGCAAGTGAGTGACGCATATCACCCTGAAACTCATCGAGCCGTATGGGTAGTCTGCGACAAGTACGCCTGAACCAGCCCCTTCTGTCAACGTCACAACTTGACGAAGATGCAGAAGAACCCTGAGTTATAGCACATCCTCTGTAAAACCACCTGGCAGGTGCGTCTTTCCGTTCGCGTTCGACGCCATGCGCTAGCGCACGCTCACGCGGAACATTAACAATGCACTGCAGGGATGGGCCGTATTCTTTCAGAGTTGTCTAAAACGTGCTGTGGGGAGGCAGTCTAAGTATGGTTCATGTACAACATGTTACCCGTCCCTCGTGTATTTCAGCATCCCTTTTGGTACATGCTGTCTCAGCTGCGAAACGGGACCAGGACTGTCAGAACAGGCAGCATTTCTACAAATTAGAGCCCGTGTCAGCAAAGAGAAAGCACAGTTAATCCCAATCGAAATGCTCCCTGAGCTCCATTTTGCGATCCCAGCATCCAATCACTTGATGCTTCCATACAGTGGTCTGTAGATGCCTATGTATTCCCCATGTGGTCCCACACCTCAAGCCCCCCAACACCTAGGCCCTCCATGGGCGTCCTAGTCGACCCTAAATCCTAGGCCCTAAACCTCAAGCCTGGGCCAATACAAACTGTATCAAGATCCCGTCATACGGTAACCTATGCGGCATGGTTTTGGCCCTTGAACCCTCAAGGTTTAAGGTTTTGGGGCTTCGGGTTGAGCGCTTTCGGGATTTAGGGGTCTAGGTTTGCAGGGTCTAGGGTTTGAGGTTGGCCCTGCACCTCAAATGGGGAAATGCTCTCTCTGGTCCCGCGATGTCCCGCGCTCAGGAGGCTCGCCAGGCTTCCCAGGTAGCTTTCGAGAAGGCACCCTCTTCATCCCCCACACCTGGACGGTTCAGGCTTCAAGTTTAGGCTTTAGGGTTTAGGGTTTAGGGTTTAGGCTCACAGTTTAGGGTTGATTTCCAGTATGGTTTAGGGTGTCTGGGAATGAATATGGATATTTGTAGAGAACAATGGGAATCACATGGGAATGAGAACTGAAAATAAAACGTCAGCTGGGTTTCCGCGCGGATTCGGGCTCAGGCTTTTTCATCTTGCGCACTCGAAATTTCGTTGGAGTTTAAGGTTTCGGGTTTAGGGCTTTCATTTTTCTAGGTTTATGACATTTCTGGGTTTGGATCAGAGCATCGAGAGCTTTGGGATTGATATGTGTATAGGGGGTAGATAGGGACATCGAAAAGAAAATGGAAACTACTATTTGGGGCTATATAGGTGGTATACTGGGGATATGCAGCGAGGGTTAATCTCTTTTTGACTCTACAAGCCAAAGCTGGAGGATTTTTTGGACCTTTAAAACAATCTACGTGGCTTCCGGAGCAATGGAACATGCAAGTAACTCTGGTCTGCAGCCATTGCGAAGCTAATGCCTCTATGGCTCAGAACTAGGGTTCAGCCTCCTGGACCTGACAGAGCCCTTCATTGCGCCTTTAAGGGCTGTTACCCTAAACCCTGAAGCCTAAACAGGCACAGATTCCTCTGCTGAAGCTGCCAGTCTCTCGACGAATCTAAACTGAAATCCTTGAACCTGCTCTGGCCCTTCTGAAAATTAGTATCCCATGTGGTCCGCCCAAAATGTCATACGCGGCAGGGTTAAACCATACGTTTCAAAGTGTTAATTATGCAGTTAAAAACTTCCAACTCGACCTCCGGCTTGAGTCCTAATCTGATTCAAGGGACCCAAAAGTGCACACTACACCTACACAGCTACGAGTTACTCGGAGTAGCTTGACCCTGGAGGCTCAAGCCCAAATCCGAAGTCGCAAATCTGCTTAAAGTTTGGGGCTTAGGGTTCAGGATTTAAGCTTCATGCTGCGCGGATGCAATTACAAACGTGAAGCCATGCGTATAATCACACATATGACAATATGTGCTAGGTAGATGAGGAGACAGGCGCAAACAAATATGTGTATCCATGTATTGTGTATATATATATACACATACACATCCACATTCGAGCATGCATGTACTTATATGTATAGACATACGCATGCCTCAACCCTCATTTGCTTGCAAATTCACAACTCGTAGGCTTTCCAAACAGGCCAGCGGCCGGGGCCGGCGATGTCGTCAAACAGCGCGCGGCGCTCATCGAGGAACTTCACAGACCTCGAAACTTAAAAGATCAAAGGCTTGGTTTTAGGGTTGTGGGCTGTCAGCTTAGGATTCAGGAGCAATCCCCTCCCCCTTCTAAGAACTTGGCACAAAGTGCATCGTTTTAAGCCTGCAAAGGCATCAGGATTTAGGACTGCGGGATGAGGATTAAGCAGGCCAGGCATGATGGTTGAGGCTTCAGGGTTTGGAGATCTGAAGGTTAGTGTTCAGGTCAGGCCTTACTTGGAGGTTCACAAACAACTTAGAACCACATTAGGGGACTTGGCTATATAAGTACATGTTTCAGGAGATGGATAAGACTTACCCTCAACCTCCAAGTAAGGCGCTGAGGGATGGCAAGGGCATCTTGATATGGCACCCCGAGGAGGGCAGTCCTCTAGAAGGACTGCTTCGAAAAGGATTATACATGTAACCAAGGGTTCTCGGGGTCTGTGCCAGCTTTGGGCGTTTGCTTATCTACCTGGAAAATGAGGAGTTGGCGAGCAACATCTGATCTCCGTGCCTGGGATTACAACTGCTGAGAAATTGACCGCTCATACTTTGCTGTTAACCCACAAAGCTAAATCCCCAACTTCATCCCCAACATCTGGCCCCATCCCTCCCCTGAACTCAGTGTTTTGGGCTTTGCCTAGAAAACCTGCGGAGAATCCGTCAGCTCAAGGCCCCGGCCTTAGCAGCTTATCCACCACCTGGTCCATCTCTGCAATGCTGACCCTTGCTGATCTGGACAGGTCCTTCATGCGTGTGCTGTGAAGATGCTGGTGAGAGCATGGAATGGACTCATTGCCGCCGGCCTGTGGCGCTTTGAAGGTTTTATTTATGTGGGTGCGCGCTAGGCTCAACCAACGCCTTGTATGGGCAGAATGTTAGTGCTTGCCTCCCCGACACTCTCTACGCTAAGATGGAGTGGGGTAACCTTTTCCTTTAGCAGCTATTACTGAGAGTTGTTTGAAAAATTGTTTAGCCAGTCATGAGCCAGAGGTGAGTATAGCTTCTCTAAGTCTCTGAGCGCCCCTGAACCCAAAACCCTATAAGCTCTGAACCCTAAACACTAAACCGACCACACACTTGGCGCTCCTTTGCCCTGAATGTGTCGGCCAGAGCCCACAAGAACACCCAGGTGTGTGCCGGCGGCTGAAAGCGCTTGGACTTCCAGGACGCGCGAACAGCTGCTGACAACTCATCGACATCCTCAGAGTCTTAGCCCCTTGCTTACCCAGGGGGCTAATTAAGCGATATACCTTAGATCATATTAGGGACCCTAGTACCATTCAAGGTATGTTCCTTAATTCAGGGGTGCTGGGCTCTCTGGGTATCCTAAGCCCCTAAAAATGTGAAGCATCAGAACGCAACATCCATGTTACATGTCGTCCACGAAACCACCGAGGAACTCTAGAAGAACCACATTGAAGGCAACCAAGCCCTGGAAAGAAACAAATTATGGGGCGGGCGGACCAATAGCAACATGCAGGGAAGCATGTCGACTGCCCTTCTCTGTACAAGCATGAAGGAAATGACTACATTCAATCTTAACTACCCCAAAGCCCTGGAACCCCATACCCTATCCTCCAAACCCTAAACCCCCAAAAGTCCTAACCCTAAACCCTATAGTCCCCCCTTAAGTAGATAGAATATGGTTTTGGGTATATTATGACAAGATCCCCATATACCCCATATTCTATCTACTTAAGGGGGACTATATACCTTAAACCCTGCGGAGACTCTAAGTTGCCATCTTGGTTACTGTCCAGCCGCTTCCATGCCGCCCCAGCAGCCTTCAGGTCTTGGGCATAGGGTTTTGGGTTTTGGGGCAGTTTTAATTTGGCTCAATTAGGTTTAGGGTTTAGGGGTTTTAGGGTTTTAGAGTTTAGGGTATTGAGAAGTGGTAGGTCCCACCCCGTTGGAACCGCTTTAGGGGACTGGGGTGGGCTTGTGATTGGGAGTATAAGTGTATTATTGGGTTCAAATTGCCCTGAGCCTCCAGGTTTCTTCGTGTCCTGTCAAGGGATAATACTAGGTATATAGCGCTATCTGGGGGACATAGATTATATATATATATACATATAGATAGATACATATGGTTTATGGGGTGGTTTATGGGGTTCATGGCCTACTTTCCTAAGCGCCAACAAGGAACAATCAAACGGAAAAGAAATGGCAGCTGGGCTTACATAGTGGACTATAGGCATTGCAGGGTTGCCCACAAAATTAAATTGGTGCTTCCAGGGCACGTAAAATTACAGTTCTGAAAGGCCTATGAGAGGATAAAGCTGGAAATCTCATTTGAATCGACAAAATACACCGTTCATAAATTCATTACACAAACGTTCACCATCAGTTTTAGCTGGGGCCGCCTTCATCCGGACAAGGGGGTTCCTTTGTGGAACCTCTATTCTGAGCTGCTACTTCATTCAAACCCATATTGCGATGCGCTTTGGTGTCCTACTGCAGAACAAA